ACCCACTCTCATGGCTTTCAGGAAAGCTGTAAAAACCTGGCTGTTCCGGCAGGCCTGGGGCTGTTGACCTCATTGTTGAGGGCCAGCCCCCCTTAGAATGAATGTATGTGGTGTTGTGATTTTAAACTGTCTTTTTTTTTTCTCTCTTTTTTTGTAAGCTGCCCGGAGTCCTTCGGGATTGGGCGGCATATAAATTTTGATAATAAATAATAAGATAATAAATTGCATAACTTTATGTTGTTTCTACAGAGAGCTGGACCCTGGCCTAACAGAAGCAGTATCTACCCTCATCTGGGCAGCTCCTCGACTACAGTCAGAAGTAGCTGAGTTGAAAATTGTGAGTAGCACTACTAGCTATGTGAGAGGAAACAGACTCTGGGTTATTGCCCAATTTCCCTTTATAATTTTTTTTATTTGCTTGAGATTTAAAATTGGTTCCTCTAAGCTTAGGCCTTCTAACCAAGAAAGAGCTGTGGTGTTTCTGTGCTTCACTTTAGGGCTAGCCAATGAGTTTTTAATTGTGCTATTTCTGTACTAGGTTGCTGATCAGCTATGTGCCAAATACAGCAAGGAATATGGCAAGTTATGCCGAAACAACCAGATTGGAACAGTCAATGACAGGGTGAGAATGAGAAGAGCTACTGATGATGAGATGGCGGTATAAAGTATATCTCAAAAGCAAGTTTTACAGAGTAGGAATTTTGGTGATCCATACAAGCGATACTAAGTATCTTCTTTGAATTTTGTATTTTTATTTTTTGGGTGATTTCTGATAAAAACTGTCAGTCCTGCTTAGCTATCGAGGTAACAGATTGTTTTTCCTCCTCCTTGCCTTCTAGTTAATGCACAAACTGAATGTAGAAGCACCTCCTAAAATCCTGGTGGAGAGGTACTTGATTGAGATTGCCAAGAACTATAATGTGCCCTATGAACCAGATTCTGTGGTAATGGTAAGTGGAAGGGCAGGAAGCTTCCTACTCGTGTGATGTGAACAGTCTGCTCTCGGCTGTCACTTGTATGAAAAAGAGTGAAAAATTCAGCTTTCCTGTATTTCATTTTTGGAGCTTCATTTTATTAGTTATCCACAAATGGTCTCAGTGAACAAATAGTGCCAAGATTTGATTCTAGCTTTTTAATTTTCACTGGCTAAATAGCCAGTTGTGTGAGTCATGACTGCTTTGGAGTAGCCTTGTCCTAAAAAAAGTCACAAAACCTGTGCTCACCCCATCCCAATGAAGTTTTCACTATATACATTCATGTCCTCCTGGAAAAAAAAAAAGGCTTAAAATAACTTCAATCTGGAGAAGGTTCCAAACAATATCTGAAGTACTGTATGAGGACTCCAGCAATTTATGATTTGCTGATGCAGCCCTGAACTGGAGAAGACAATTTTTGTAAGAGTGGTTATCTTTCAAAAATTCCTCCCAAGGAATTTGTTGCAACATAAAAGCCACACCCAAACAGTTTTTGGGGATCTGCATGCTGGTCGATAATCCCGATTCTGGAAAAAAAAACTCTGGATAGATGGGGCAGAACTTCTGGTGGAATCCATACATTCCAATTAAATCCTATGGTTTAAGATTATTTTAATCGCTTATTAGGTGTCATGATTTAGTTTGCTAATGGGATTATTTACATCATCAAGGAAAGCATCGATTCTGATTCATATCAGAATTCTATGAGAAATTCAAGAAATTCAGGCCATTTTTCTAAGTCATGTGGCAAGAGTGATCCATCGAAGCAAGCCTACAAGATGAAAAATGGAAAGGGATGCACGTAATATTTTGGTCCGGCCAAGTCAAAGCCACATACGAACCCCATAGAAATATTGTGGCAGGATTAAAATTGGCAGTTTGTACTAGAAAAGCTCAGCTATTACTGTGCTGAAGCAATTCGTCATAAAGGAATAAATAAAATAAATCAGAATACAGTGATGCGAGAAACTGGTTATCGGTTAAGGAAGTGCTTGGTCCCACTAACTGCAGCTAAGGGTAAGACAACCAATTACTGAGTCATGTGGACAGCTACTGTTTTGCAGTGGTGTATGTTGGATGATCTTAGGTAATGAGTGAAACAAGTAAAACATCAGTTTTGTTTCTTATGAAGCTCTTAACATTCAGTAGCAAAGATACATAAATGTTCAGGAAAACCCCAAAGAAGCAAACATTGTATTTCTTTTCATTTAATCATAGCCTTGCATAGCCACCAATCTGAAAAAGTGACTGTATGCAAGCAGTATCTTTCCTGGTTGTGAGATTGGGCCATCTTGTTTCTCAGGCAGAGGCTCCTGCAGGTGTAGAAGCAGATCTGATTGACGTAGGATTTGTGGATGACTTCAAGAAAGGCGGCGGCGGCGGCGGCGGTGGTGGCGGCTTCATGGCCCCTCTACCTGGTCCTGAAGGAGCCTTGCCGATGCCATCTCCACTTCCTCCTTTCTCCTACCCACATCCGAAGGGGATGGTAATTAACTAAACCTTGATTCATACAGGGCTCTGGAGGCGGATAGTTTTGCTTTTATCTGGTTGCTAGCATGTGAGTTTGCAGCAGCTTTTCTTTCTTGCTCAATGAGCTGCATCTGCTTTGCCTAACAAACATTCTGATTTCTGCAGGAGAGCTTCAATGGGCTACCCGTAGGTACCTACCAACCATTCACTGGCCTTCACCCTCCTCCGATTCCAGCAGCTCCTCCAACATATGAATCTGTAAGTGTCACCCAAAAAAACCTAGTCCTCTAAAATTGCATGAAATGAAAACACAGTTCACAGCTGACCCTAAAAAAAAACTCTTGTTCCGCAAGTCCCACCAAACTTTCAGACTGGCTGCAGTTTGGCAGAAACTAAATTTATAATCTGAGATGGGAGGACAAAACCAAGGCACATTGTTCCTTTCCCCCCCTTCCTTTGCATAGCCATCTTCCTAGTAGCTCTGTGGAACAGCTCACACCAGTGACAGTTTTATTATGTTCTTAGTCTCCTCTGCTGCTGCTTTTCTTCCTTTCTGCTGCTGAGATTTTGGGCGAAGGCTTTGGGATCAAGCATTAGTTGTGCGATAGTTTCTCTGCTTGTTTGGGTGCCATAGTTGCTTTTCAGAACTTCCCCTTTAATTTGCTACATTTACCTGCCCTCATGCTTTCCTCCCTTCCAATAGTGATAAAATATTTTCTGAGGGGTGGGGGGGAGAGGGAGAGACAGACAGACGGACAGACAGAGCCTCTTTCCCCATTGCTTTTCTGTCCTACCCAGCAATAGAGTTTTGGGCTTTGATACTTGAGGTGGAGAAAAATATGCTTCTGAAATCTCCCAGACTGTACAAATAAACAAAGGTATTTCGTGTGCTGCATTGACCTTCTGCCAAATACACTTGTGCCTGTTTCAGGTAGATGGTGGGAATGCTGACAAGGAAGTGCCATCCTTACATGTGACTGGTAAGTCCAAAGATGCTCAGGGAGCACCGGCCGAGGCCTTTTTTGTCACTCTGGTAAGACACGTTGAGCTGCTGCATTTGGCTTGGGGTGAAGTGGCAGCAATTTGATTCCTCCAGAGCTGTAGAAGCTCACACCAGGCAACCCTTGGGAGGCCTCAAAAGCAACAGCACTCTTGTTAAAGCCTTGGACACAAGAGAAAATAGCAGCTTGCTATACCAGGCAGGCTGCTGGTATGTCAGAATGAGTCTCCTGTTGTCCGGGCATTGTTCCTGCTGCCCCCTGGTAATCCTGGGAGGAGGAGCCGATGGTTTTCTGCATTGTTTGGGCCAAGGCTTGTAATGTCTCTCCCTCCGCCCTCTGCTGCAGGTCCCCGGGTAACGCCGGAAGCCAAGGGGCAGCCACCAGTCCCCATGCCCCGTTCAGGTGATCGCTTTGTGTTGCCAGAGTTGCCATCTGTGCCGGATACCCTGCCTGCTGCTTCTGCTGGCACCAGCACATCTGCATCAGATGAGATTGACTTTGATGACCTGTCCCGGAGGTTTGAGGAGTTGAAGAAGAAAACCTAAGAGCTGCATAATCCTGTTGCTGCAGTGGGTGCTCATTTCCTTGTCTTCCTCTTGGCCTTTCTTCTCGCTCTACTTACACACTAAATTGTGCTGTCTCGGAGGGTCCTTTGGAGGCCCTTTCGGTGGGAAGCAAGAAAGCTACCCCCCCCCCCCTGTGCCTCAGTCACCCCAGATAATCTCTTTTCTGGAGGGGGGTGACGGGAGCAGCATCTCCTTTGGCTAGAAGACAGCACAGCAACTACAGTAGGATGGCTCTAGACAACCTGCTGGAACGGGGGCACACTGCTTGCCTTCTGGGCATGTATACTGTGGGAAGGACTGCCTTAAAGCCTCTGCTTGCTTGATGCAGTTATGGCTTTTCTCTGGGAAAGGAGGCCAAAGCCAAGTCTAGCATGAGGTGGGCAGAGGAGCCAGGCACATGCCACGACTTTAGACCTGGCTCAGAGAGACTGGAAAAGAGACTTCCCTCAGCAGGGCCTGGCAGGCTGGGAATGGGGCCATCATTTGACATTTAGGTCTGCAGCTCCCAACTAGTCCATCTTTGGCCTGTGGGACGAAGCCATAGATGGCAGCCCCACCACCACCACATAGTGACATCTGCTGCTATGATGCCCCGAGGAAAACACTGCTTTCTCATGTAATGCCTCTGTATGTAATATGTCCACATGGCTTTTCTGGGACAGTTTTGATGGTTGATTCCTTCTCTGTTCTGAATAAAAAATGTGATCTTCACTGAGTCTGTTTTGGAGAGTATAATCTGATGCAGGAGACCATGCTGTTTTCCAGTGGTCCCTTTCCGCCACTGGAACAAGTAGAAAAATGGTTGATCCTCATTGTTGCCCACTTGTATTCTGTCATAACTTGTATGTAAGATGAGGAAAGAATATGACTGCAAGAGATTACAGAGACTGAACCGGATGCTGAAATGGCTAAGAAGCCCTCCGGGGATTGCTTGTTCCCCGTTATTGTGGAATCAAATGGATTCCCTCTGCTGTTTGAGGGGGGGGGGGGGGAATTTCCCCAGATTGGTACAAGCCAAGTTCATTTCCTTCACAGGGTGAGAAGAGTCAGCATTCTCCCATCAGCAGGGGATTGTTTGATTTTTGACTTTCTGTGTACAGAAGTTAACTTTCTGTGAGAGGCTATCTTTAAAAAATGGTGGAAATAGAATATCTGTCACAATATTTGGGACTCCTTTTTTAGTCTTTCTACATTCTAGTCCTATTTATATTAATGATGCTGTCTCAGATCCCTAGATGGGTGTGATGTTTTTAACTCAAAGAGGGTTAGGGAGGCGTTTCTTTTGACAAAGCTAGACTTTTCCATAATCTGAACTCCTGAGAAGAGCCGGGCCCTCTTTACCAGAGTTTTCATAGCATTCGGAAGAGGAAGAGGCCACGGACGGCAGAGGCTCTTGGGGTATTCAACTTGTTGGCAAGTTTTGGACCCGTAATTGAAATAGTAGCTTTGGTCGAGGATAAGACCCTTAATTGAAAAATGAAGCACCGACCCAAAACTGAAGGAAAAGACGCAGAGAGAGCAGCTGTCGTTTGCTAAAAGGAAAGCGGGCGAAAGGCTGCGTTGGAAACGGTCGGGGAGCCCGGGTGGGCTGGGCAGAGGGGGGAGAGGTCTCCGAGGAAGGGCACGGGCGGGCCAGCCTTCCGCTTCCTCGGGGCTCCTGACTTTCTCCCCCACCTGCATCGGAAGGAAGCGTCGCCGGGGCGGCGGCTGCTTTCCCCGAGGAGGAGCCCGCACCTTTGGCCGGAATGCGGGAGGGGAAGCCAGCCCGTTTCTCCGCCGGGAGCCCCGAGGGAGGAGCGTTTCGCAGCCTCGCCTCCGATCGCCACCTTCGGCCGGGAACGTCGCGCCGTGCCTGACGCCGCCGCGCGGGGGCGACTGCGGGCCCCTCGCGCTCCGAGCCCCTCCTCGGCCCGCGCGCATGCGTCGGAGCGCCCCGGGGGATCTCCGTCATGGCCGCCGGGCTGCGGGTGAGCGGAGAGGCCTCTGCGGGCGCCCAGGGCCGCTCCGGGGAAGGGCGGGGGGCCGCCGGGAGGGGCCTGACGCTCCGCTTCTCTCCCCGCAGCGCCTGAAGGAGGCCGCCCTGGTCCTCGGGGGCGGCGGCCTGATCTTCGCCGCGCACCTGACGGCCAGGGGCGACGAGCGCTTCTACCGCCGGTGGCTGATGCCGGCCCTGCAGCGCCTGGTGGGGCCCGAGGACGCCCACCGGCTGGCCGTGCGCCTGCTCGCCCTGGGCCTCGCGCCCCGCCCCGGCCCGCCTGACTCGCC